GGGCGGCATTTAAAAGTTAAAACTGCAAGCGTAATACACCCAAATAAAGTAACACTGTGTCGTAATTACTTAACGTTGGGCAGTTGCGCTATATCCTAGGGGAGGGCATAATTATTAATTAATAAGCATTATAGGCCAGAAGAAAATTTTGTGCCCCTTCACACTTGCGCCCGGGGGCGACTGCCTCCTTCTTGCTACGCCACTGAGCCAAGATGCGGTGTCACCCGGCTGTCAGAGCTCACAAACAACATCTGTTTATTATGGTAATACATTACGAAAAAGCTTTCCTTCAAAACAGGTAGCTGGGTTAACCTAATCTTGTTCTCTGTATAAATGGGGATGATTTTGACACCACCTAAATTAAACGTTCATATATGTTTGGAAACTAAATAATAAAAAACGCTCCATTAAATATATAGATTTATCATAGACGTGATAACAGATGTTGGAAATCTCTCTTTCATAAACATTCACCACGCTATGTGAGCTATATGAAGCTTAAACATGAATAGAGCTTATTTTAGTGTGGTCAACAAAGAAATACAGGTGCATGAGATGTTTGGCGTTTGTTCTTAACAATCTTATTATTTAAATACCACAGAATCAGTTAATTCCGCAGTTTCTTGGTTGTTGAGTTATCTTTGAATAAAGTTTTCAACTTAATGTTCTTCTTGTACAATTAGATTATAAACGATGAAAAGAAAATAATTTTTATGAAAAGCTTTTTTTTAACTTGTATTCAAAACAATGATGAATTCACTATCGCTACTCATTTACTGAATACTTTAGAACAGAACAGAGAAGTTGTTTAATTTCTTTCAGCAGAAATTTCTACATAGAATTTGTTTGTTTGGAATTAAGCACAAAGCTACACGACGGGCTATCTGTGCTCTGCCCACCACGGGTATCGAAACCCGGTTTCTAGCCACTGGGTGGCTTTCGTAGAACTAAGAACGTTATAATTATACAAACAACTGCATTCATACAATTTTGCTACATGTAAAACAGATAAGTAGGGCCACAAAAATCAGGTTTTTAGATAGTTTTCAGTTTGGGATCTGACTTATCTACGTCTTAATTAAACTACTCACGAAGTGCAGTTGATTAATCCATTGAATAACGAATGGCTGCAGGATCCATTAAAATCACGTCAGTAGTGTTGCTAAAATCATGATAATCTAAGCTTATGTTAAAGTATAGTATCTCAAAGAGACATGTCTCTGAATACACTTTGAACGATATATTTTATCGTTCCATTGATGAGAACAACATATATACTTTAAATATCTCGTAGGCATTGGACACGGTGTGGTTGATATAGTATTGTTATCATACACTGTACTTTCACTCAAAAGTTCTTGTTAATAGTGTTGCGTATTTGCTCGTTTGTTAATTTCCGGTATAAATTATTTCCGAGGAACTTCAGCGATACAAGTCCTTTCTTGATTAAAACTAGTTTATTCTTACTCGATACAACTTTGTAATACACAGAATTTCCACGGTCACTTTAAACTTAACAATCTTTATAACACACGCTATAAATCACAGTTATACACACACTTTACTTACGTTGCCTACGGTTAGCTTGACTCAATTATCAATCTCTTCAATTTATCTGCATATCTACCTCTTGCTGGATTTATTTGCCGGGCTTATCTACTAAAAAAGAGGGCGCCTGGCTAACACTCGAACATTTGCGGGGTTCCTCGATAAGTCATGATCCTTCTAGAAACTCCAGCACGCATGGCTTCCAGCTCGTGTGACTTCCGCTGTCATAA